AAATCACAGCTTACTGTAATATGTTATGTAGTAAGGTACCAGGAACATAGCTTACTGTAGTATGTTATATAGCCTATGAAATTCCCAAATCACAGCTTACTGTAATATGTTATGTAGTAAGGTACCAGGAACATAGCTTACTGTAGTATGTTATATAGCCTATAAAATACCCGAATCACAGCTTACTGTAATATGTTATGTAGTAAGGTACCAGGAACATAGCTTACTGTAGTATGTTATATAGACTATAAAATACCCGAATCACATCTTACTGTGGTATGTTATATAGCCTGTAAAATACCCAATTCATAACTTACTATAGTATGTTAGATAGCCTATAAAATACCCAAATCACACCTTACTGTGGTATGTTATATAGCCTATAAAAAACCCAATTCATAACTTACTATAGTATGTTATACAGACTGTAAGATACAATAATCACACATAATTTTAGTATATCATGCATACAAGAAAATATCAGGATCAAAGCTTGCTTTAGTTGTTTTATCTTGTATGTATATTGCCAACCATGGTGTCTGTCCAAGCTTTCATCTGTCTCTCGCTTGGAAAGCTGTGCATGCAGGCAAAGCTAACATTCACTTTTGAAATGACAGGAGAACAGACATAAAATAATATTGATGTCAAATTTTATTTCACAAGCAGAATATTCTACACTAAATTGTTAGAAGCTAATCACATTATCATTCACATTTCAAAATGTGACGTAACTTAAAGAATAAAAATGTAGATTTACCATATGTTATTGTTGAGTGGCTCTTAACATGACTGAAATGATCAACAATTACTTTTCGCAATAGATGGTATAAGTAACTCAAAGCTTTGGCTCTGAGTGAAATCAAGAGTGGAACACAAATAACCTTTTTAAATTCCATGAAATAATTTAAATTGATAGCATAACTTAAACGTTTCCCATCAGTGGGGACAGGTACTTTTGCTTGTAGTCTATAAAATACCAGAATCACATCCTGCTGTAGTATGTTATATAATAAGATACCAGGAACACAGTTTACTATAGTATGTTATATCGACTGTAAGATACAAGGATCACAGGTAATTTTAATATGTTATATAATAAGATACCAGGAACATAGCTTAATATGGTATGTTATACCGACTGCAAGATACAAGGACCAGGGGTAATTTTAATATGTTATACCTACAGTAAAATATCAGGATCACAGCCTGCTGTAGTATGTTATATAGCCTATTAAACATCAGGATCACAGTCTACTATAGTATGTTATGTAGTCTATAAAATATCAGGATCACAACCTACTGATGTCACAGAGACTAAAATAACAATAGCACAGGTTACTGTGTTATGTTATACATAGTGTGAAATATCAGGATTACATCTTGCTGTATTATGTTATACAAACAGTAAAATATCAGAGTTACAGATTACTGTATTTAGATATCAAGGTGCTGTGGGGTTTGAGCACTTGCTGTTTCCCTTGTAAGGTTTGTGACAGTTCATATTAAGTTTTGTAGCAGGTTACTTATTCCTATGTAATCAGTCAACACAGTTTACATTTGAATTACAATCTTCTGTAAGCTATAATTTAAGACATATACCATGCATGTCCAAAAGTTTTCACAATAGCATGTTTTTGATATTTGCATGCTATTATGAAAAGTAATTTATATATATTTACTTTTTCACTTTTTTCTTTCTCGAGGTAGTGTTTTCTAGACGTAACTGGTCTTCAGGCCCCAAATTTATCTGCCAAGTAAAGAGCTTAAATCCAAATCAAACCAAAAATTGTGATAAAATTGCAAATGAAAACATCAAATAGAATTTATAAAGTACCACATGAAAGTAAATAAAAAGATAAACATTTTTATCAAGATAAAATATTTTGCACTAAAGTTAAAAAAAAGCATGAGAGGAGGTTTCTTTAATTCAACATGTTCAGAGTACCATCATAAAAAAATACATTGATAAGTTAAAAAGTGTGGCCCAGTGGTTAGCCTGCCACACTATAGATGTAAGGTTCCATGCCCCATTGCTGCAAAATAAAAACACAAAACTGCACTTTGGGGCCAAGGGTGTGTGTGTGTTACAAGAATGACAATGATATCCAACAATTCAGTTACAGTCGTTCATGAGGTGGTGTTGACTATCTACCCTCCATCTAGTCTATCACTTCAAAATTAGGGATGGTTAGCACAGATAGCCCTCAAGAAGGTTTGTGTGTGAAATTCAACGAACACCAATTGTCAGACACAGTGTGTGATTCATGTTGATTTATTCTATATTTCAAATTCTTTAACTTATAAAATTTCTGCTAAGACAAGAAAGTTCAATCATAGATATAATTCTTTAAATTGAAATTAAATTTTGTGATTTTAAAAACTTTCTCAATTTTAACAATTTGTTAAACATTGTTATTAAAAAATATTTGTATAAATTTTTACAATTCTTTAAGTGTATTATAGAAACAATTGTATTTATCAAAATAATTTGCAACCTTATCACTAGAGATTGTTGTTTTCATTTAAATGTTTAATAATGTGAATACGGTTAGGAATATTGTAAAGAGATTGTAAATAGTTCAGTGTGTTTCCTGCAGTAATAAGGTGAACATTCTCCCCTGTCTTTCTTTTTTTTTCAGGAATTCATCAATTAATGCAGCAACTAATACACAAAATTATAAAAGAACATCAGGAGATTTGGAATCCTCTAACATTAATACATCTAATTCTGTAGGCCAGGTGAATGGATTACAAGATATAACTTAATTCTGTAAACAGTCAGTATGAATTAAAAGATATAACTCACCTGGCCTACAGAATTAGATGTATTAATATTCAAGGATTCCAAATCTCCTAATGTTAATTATGTAAACAGTCGGTTCACCTGGCCTACAGAATTAGATGTATTAATATTCAAGGATTCCAAATCTCCTAATGATGGATTACAAGATATAACACTGACTGTTTACAAAATTTTTCTAATAATTTTGAATTAAGTAAGTGAGCAAGTTCCTAGCATCACATTAAAAAATTGTTTACCCTACAAGTTTATGCTTCATAATGTAAGAAAATTAAGTGTTTTAGCTTTAATGAACTTTAAACCATCATCTTTTCCAGATGAATTCTTATCTTATACATTATGTGGTTAAGTTATAAATCTACAAGATCACTTGTAATACTGACAGCTGTATTAATGCAGTCTGAAACCCCCTACAGCAAATACAGTAATACAGAATTTTCTGTTAATCTGCAGATTTAGTAAGTATTCTACAAAGTATTAAAGGTGTTTGTACTGAAAGGTATGTAACAAAATATTATTATTGGAGGTAGTTTTATTTTATTGGAAATCAGTGTGTGAGTAGATTACTAAAATGTTATGAATAGCCTGTCCTATTCTATAAGGTGGAACCACATACCCTGTCTGCTATATATATAAAAAAATTTGGAAACACTTGAAATGCAGTAGCTGATCTCAACTTGTATAAGATTCCTTCTTCTGGAATTCTATAAGCTATAGATCTACATATTGTTTCCTGTGTACAAAGGGGGTTACTTACATGTTATGTGTGAAAGTAGTATTGTGTTCCAAAAAATACAAGTCATGGCCCATGGGTAAAATGTTTAGCCTGTATGTTCATGTGGCTTACGATGAATTCCCAACTATTTTGATAGTTCAATGCCACCTTGTAGGATTCCTGCTGGAGGAACATGTCACAGCTCTTTCATGTAGAATTTTTTTCTAACATTTGAAAAGCCTTCAGAATTTTCCATAGAAGTGGAAAAACTTACATAGCAAAGTATTTAGGACAACAATGTGTTGTGAAACATTCCAGGCCAACCCGTGGCAATACAATCATCCCTCAAGTGAACGATGTGATCATAAAAGTGCACCTTCTGAGTCAAAAAAGTCGTTGCAAAGAAGATGAATATATCTCCTGGGAATATCAACAAAATACTAAATAAAAAATTGAAGCTAACAGAAACTCGCAAGTTTCCAGTCACACCTCAAATCAATTGCTGTTTTCAGGAGAATGTTTGCTGAAAACATTTGCTGTCTTTTGTCTGTTAAACTCTCTAGATCTTGCTAGGTCAAAGTGCATATGTCACAACCTTTTATAGTTGCATTCAAAATTTAATTAAACTACTTTATTATCAATGTATATCAGTAAACTTGGCATCAAAACATAATTAATAAATCAAATTTTAATAATATACAAGTTTTAATTTCAAAAGCAAATATTTAAATAAATTCTCAGTCTTCACTTTTCTGTATCATGTGACACTCTGAGTTGCACATTTTTAGATAATTCTTCTGAGTTTTAATGCAATTTACACATTTATAATGTAGATATTTCTAAGATGTAATCTAACTTTGTAGCCTCCAATCATCTTGTTTTACTTTGATATAAACCAGAAAGTCCAACCCACATGTCACACCCTACTGCCATTCAAAAAATTTCAATAGTTCTCACTGTTGGTTATAAACAATGTAATAGCAAACTGTTACATTGTTTATAACCAACAGAAAGAGAAAATTTTGATTTAATGATTTACGTATAATCCGAACTTGTTCTCAGGACAGCTTTTCAATTATTTGGCATATAGATTCAAAGTTGCTATCACCAAGTTCAGCTTTACTAGTCAAGGGAATTGTTTTAATGCTCTTATATCTTAGAAAACCACTTAAATTATAATAATTATCTGACATTGTATGCTTTGTGCATATTACTGTTTTGTGTTTTAAATTGAATATTTGAAATAAATACAAATTCAGTAAAGTACTAATAACAACCATGGCAATATTTAGGTTAACTTTTATTGACACCTCAAGTCTTTGACTACAGAAAAGTACAAAACCCACATATAAGTACTAAATTTCTTGTTTTTTATGTATGTCTTTATTCCCTGTTATAAATGTAACTAAAAGGTAAAATTTAGGAAATTATCAGGTTAGATAAGAAAACATAAATGAAAAAAATTATATAAGCTTTTGTGTTACGTAATTCAATACCGTAACTAATACTATGAGTTTGCTGGGTGATTTCTAGTTTGTTACACAGGTTTTAGACACACTTCAAAGAGAAACAAGTAATAAAATTAAATAAAAACAGATGCTGACTGTCACGGGCCTGAGGCTATTTAGGATAAATAATTATAATTTCTAGAAAGAAACATGTGTTATTTAGATTTTTCCTTTATGGTTTTTATAGTTATAAGGTTGTTCAATTTGACTGAGCTCATATAGTATTAGAGTTAAGAAAATAACAGATAAAATATAAAGTTTGTATATTCATTTAGGAAGTTCTAGACGTTATGCAAATGAAATTTGAAAACTGTAGTATGATAAATAGTATTTTATACTCAAAATGAAAATCAACTTGCAGGTGAACTATTCAGAGTCCGAGTGCAAATAACTACATTACTTTGCACTCAGACTAATAAGAGTGTGAGTCAGACTCTGGCTCCATAAATTCACAGAAAAATTGAGTAAAGATACTTAATTTAAAAATCATATTTTTTGTGTACAAAATACTTGTAATGTTTACTGAGAGCTTGTGAAATTTCATAAAGATACACTTAATACATTAAGTTGTAGTATGTATAGTTTCATGGTTACAAGGTTGACCAAAATGATTAAGCAGCACTGGGACTTGGAACATCATTTTCATGCTTATGGTCTTTAGACATAAAAATTTTTCTCTAATAAAACATATAGTAGCAGTTCATTTTGTTTTTAATGGTGTGGGTTTTAAGACGAGTAAGGTAATACATGAGGTGGGTCTACT